CCCGGCGACGGCCCGAGATATGCGCTCGTCACGGTGTCGGCTCGCCGGCTGTGGAGGTCACCCGGCGCGTTCGGGTGTCCCCGGAGGAGCCCGGTGACTGAGCGGCCCGCTCGCTCGAGATTAACGCTGTTTACCGGCGCGCGTGGGGTCAGATGGGCCGTGTGAGCACCCAGCGCGGCTCCCAGAACAGCGCTCGCTTTATTCAACCGCGAGGATGAAAAACAAAACGCGGCGCATGGCTGCCGCTCCGCGCGACTGTGATTTTACGATGCGTGCCGTGGGCGCGGTGTTTACTGCGCACGCTCGCGGCTAGCCATCCGGAGTCTCCACCCAGTCGTTGCGGTTACGTGACTGCAGCACCGCTCCCGTCGACTGGCTATCGAACTGTCTGGGCGAGAGCCCAGAGTCGGCCTCTGGCTCCATGAAGGCTACGGCGGGAGCGGCGCGGGCTCGGAGGCAGCCGTGATGGCCCGCTGCAGACGCTGTTTGCTCTGCTCTCTCGCCGCCGGCTGCGGCGAGCTCCGGCCGGCCAAGGCCGCGTGCTCCTCGAGTGGCGCTGGCCGGCCGAAGACAGCTCCCTTCTAAAGCGCCCGGCGCCGTGCAGGTGTGGCGGATCGAACGCCGAGCGTCGAGGCGCACATCGCCGTGGTCGTCGCGTGTGTCGCTCATCTCCGCGCGCCGCGAGGAGACGACGGGCCGACGCTGTCAGCCCAGGATCAAGGCGTCCGGCTTCAGACAGTGCTCCCTGGCCTTCATATGTTGCCTGAGATGGCCGCTGGACTCGTTCCCGGCCGCCTCAGCGTCCGCAGACCTCGAAACCTCTCATTGCCAGGCGGTGACGACCCAACACGAGACCCGTTACGTCCTTAACTGTGAGAACCTCGGATCCTCACGACAACATGAACAGGCGGCCCAAATGGGACCACGTCCGTAGCGACCTCGAATCTTGCTCGCCAAATTACCCATCGGTAACGCACCTTGACATCTGACATCTCGGCTCCAAAACAAAGAGCGGCGCGCGCGACGATTGGGTGGAATGCGAGCCGCAGCGACCGCGACGAGCGGTCTTTACGCTGAGACAGCGAGCCGCGGCAGGCAAACTGTGCCGCTTGCATGGCCCGCTGCCGTGAGCCGACCCACCGATGGGCTGACGTAGATGTCCAGTCAGTTGAGTAAGGCTCATCGGGTACTTTTGTCAGCTGTGGACCCTGGAGCTCCTTTCAGATTCAATTGAACATGGTGATTGGCAAATCCCATGTCAGAAGTGTGACGGGATTCAATTCGGTTTTCGTGCGCTATTTATGCATGCCAGGGACGCTGCCTGATCGGCAGGTCCGAGCGAGGGGATTGTCCGCACAGCTGAGCGGTGTGGAGTCAATGGAGTCAATGCCTGTCTGGGCGGCGTGGAGTCAAGAGTGAAGTCAAGGCCTTCCAGAGACGGTGTCGTCCGGCCCAGACGATACTGTCAGCAGAAGAATATTGAACACAGATGTGTGGTTGCTTAAATCTGTCCGGTGCAGCCTGTCCTCACTCCTCATCCTGCAACGTCTTGTTTGACAGAAGGAATGCCGTTTTGTACTAAGTTCTTCTCATGGAAAGCTCTTTGGTTGGTTGGAACTGCTATGACAACAACCAAGATCTTTATCCACCATTTTGTCAGCATCTGTGCCCTATAACTAAATTTTGTTTGCAACCTCGGCAGCCCTACGACTGACCTTCGGTGTCTCTCAGACGGCCGCCTCCTCCGGGTTCTCACCGTCTCTCGTCATGACGGCGCTCCAGAGCGGCCCCACCCACCCCTGCGCCGCCGCCGCCGCCGCCGCTCCATTTGGTCCCGCCGCTTGACCCAGCTCATTTGCAGCCCCCATTCCGTCGCGTGGGGCAGCGTTGCGAGACGGAGAAGAGAGGGGCGCCGCCCTCCCGCCACGGGCGCGGGCGGGGGTCCAGACCCGACATCGGGGTCAGGACGGCGCTGCAATGCAATGGCTCAGCATTCTGACCGCTGCCATGGCAACAGAAGCCGGCAGCCTAGCGCGCGCTTGGCCCGCGCGGCTTGCCAGGCGGCAGTCACCCGTGCCTGCGCTTGGCGCACGGGTTTTTGCGGCCTGCGTTTTTGCATCACCCAGAGTGTGGCTATTGTGATAGCGTGGGTGACGCGTTTGTACTCGTGTCTGGTGTGGGCCCTGAAAAAAGAGGCGAGCTCGGCGCGTGCCAGTATCACGTGACTCATCGTCGTCTGACCCCGCCGATAGCAGCACCGTGTGACGCATCCACCCGCACATAAAGGCGCCGGCTCGGGATATAAACTGTACTTACAGGCGGAGACGCTGGATCTTTAACCCACATAGTCGGCCGCGCTCCCGCCCGGCATGAATCGCAACCAAGGCTGTTCGCGGCACAAAGGCTGGTCTCGCGACCGACCTTGGCTTGGGGTGCAAAGCGTTATTTGCGAACGAGTATCCGTCGGCGTAGGAAGAGGAATGTCTGCCCGCTGTGACAGCCTTGGCGCGTCCGGCTAAACAATTCATGGCACAGCACCTGCAGTCGACCAGCATGGCGCGGTGAAGGCACCGGCGTCTGAGGTAGGGGTTGCGCCCTCGCGTCAGACGCGGGTGCGCCTCCGAGCCCTCCCCTGTCCCTCTCGAAGCCAGTCGCTCGCCTCGGCTTGCGCGATGGTTGGGCCGGACGACCACCTGAGCGCCAGCTGTCGATTGGACCCGCGGTCAGCCGCCATTATGTCATTCACCCGTGGCGCCGCCCGCTAATAGGTCATTATGTCATTCACCGGCAACGGAGGGCGCCAGCGGGTCATTATATCATTCTCCGGTAACACGGGTCATTATGTCGGCGTCGCCGCGGATAACGCCAGGTAATCCGCTTACGTCCCGGACGCCTGCGCCGCACGTCTCCTCCTCTACATGACGGGTGAGACTGGCCGAGCCGTGTTCGCAGCCTCTCCCAGGCGGCGGAGGCGACGAACACTGCAGCGCGCGTGTCCGGCAGTGCGACTGGGGGTGCATTCGGCAACGCCGGCGCGGGCGTGTTCGCTGGCCGGCCGGCCGCGCCGGCCGAAATGGATGAGCTGGTGCGTGGGCGACGTTGTGCCTTTTTGAAAGGGCCTGGGTAAACAGGCACGTGTGTCATCGTGAAGGGCGCGTGCCGTGTTGACTCGCGGCTCGTAACGTTCAGCGGCCACTTACGACACGGCGGCCGTGTTTACCTAAACTCATCGCGCAGCGAGCTGGCTTGAATGCGCAGCTTCAGACATAACGGGACAGACTCGCACCCACAGGCACGCGACGGGTCCGAGCAGCTGTGTTTGATTGGAAGTGGCGTCGGCTCATCGCGGCTGGGGACAGCCTCACGCGCATGGACGTGGCTTTCTCATGTCCTGCCTGTCAGTTGCGAAACTCAAACAGCTATTGGGGCTTCCGTGTGAACATGGACGTCACCGCTGGGGTGATTGTTGGCTGAGGATGGGCTTGTTGAACTAAGAATGGTTTGTGGTGCTGTGGCTTCCAGGCCAGCATGTTACGATTCCAGAACAACTTAAAACATGCGACTTTTTCATTGTGATCAGGTTAAAACAATGTTCTAATATTCCTAGTCTTCATCTGTTAAGCTAAATTCTCAATCAATTACAGTTTACCTAAATACGGGTCTGCTTTTGATGGCACGTTCATAGTATCTAACGCCCCAAAAAGAAGATAGCCATTTTTAGCCATTCCTTTCTGCTTTTCAGGCAGCGATGGAGCGATAGCTTTTTCCTGACCGAGCCCTAAAACACACGCTGAGCATCGCGGCCGCGCAACTGAATCCGACCCACCTTAATGTGCATTCAGTCGGCTCTATTGAGGGGTGCGCGGGCCGCGCCGAAGCGCACGCCGCGCCGGTCCGCCCGAGATCCCGTATTGGGGTCGCCGGCTCCCGATTCGTCGCGTTTATTTGGCTTGGCCGAGAGCGAGAGCGGTGTTGGCCTTTGTCTGGGTCAGCTTCCGAAGGTCACCCGAGTTGGGAGGCGGGTCATTTCTCTCCTTTTTTGCTGCGGTCTGGCGGAGGAGCGGCGGCCGACCAACGCCATCAAGGACTCGCTGTGTCGCACGCTTCGAGCGTACCCTGAAGCTGATTGAATTTAGCGCCTTCTTAGCCGGGACATTCCCCAGCCAAGCATCATCTCGTTGCTAGGGCGCGGCCTCATCTCGCTGTCATGTCCAGTAGCCGTTTCAAGCTGTCGCGCGCAGTGGCCTCCGCGGCTGCCATAAGTGTCAGCTTTGTTCAGCCATTATGACCGGCTGCCATGTTCAGTTGCCATGTCCAGCTGCCATGCTTGGCGGCAGCGCCATGAGCGGTGGAGCCTGGACATGCTCCGAGCCAGCGGAGCCGGCCGCTGCTCTTCTCTTGGCTCTTCACTCCACTTGGTCGTCTGCACGGACGCTCCTTGCCACCGTACCCCGACGCTGTATGAGTGTCGGCGTCAAACGAAAACGACGGGTGTGATGCGCTCCTATGACGTCAGCCAACGCGAGGCCTTTCGCCGGTGACCTTGTGCAGTCCTCAAGACGAGCCCGACGAGGCGGCGGAGCGCGGTGCGGGCCAGCCGGCGCCGTCCGCTCGAGTTCGACGCGTGCCGTGTCACCCGGTCGCCCGCACAAGCTGCGAAGCGATGGGCGATGAAATGTTGGGTGGCGAAGCGCTCGTCCGCAGCTTATTATACAAATGTGTGATCATGTGGTGCAGTGGGGAAAGAGCGCCCAATCTATGCGTGGAGAAATGAACGTGTACTTCGCGGTTTTGACTTTTGAATTTACCTCCCGCTCATGCACCCGTGAGGGTCCCGCAGGCCGTGCATGTACGTCTCGTGTTTTGTACTGCATGTGGCCGGAAGGCCTGGTGGAGACTCTCGTTCACTGACGCTGCCGCGTTTCGCGTCTGGCAGCTGTCCTCCTCTGACACCGCTCTCGTCGGCAGCTGTCCTCCTCTGACACCGCTCTCTTCGGCAGATGCTGCTGCTGCTGGCAGCGGCGTGCGCGCTGGCGGGCGGCGAGCCGCAGAAGGGTTACAGCTACCCGGTGCCGGAGAACGGTCTGTACCTGCCGCCGCCACCGGACAAGGGCGGCCCCATCAACCCGGGCGGGTCGAACACCGTCGACATCGGTATCGAGTTGCCGCGCGACACCACGCCCCGGCCGGCAACCACGCGGCCGCCGCGCACCTTCCGTCCGCGCACCACCAGCGCGCCGCGCAGGCCCGCCACCAGGCGGCCGCCAGCGACTCGGCGACCGGTGGCGACCACCGAGCGGCCGTACCAACCGCCGGCGACTAGCCGGCCGGTGGTTACCACCCAGCGGCCGGTGGTTACCAGGAGACCGGTGCCGTCTCGGAGGCCGGCGGTGACCACCCAGCAGCCGTACCGACCCCCGGCCACGCGCCGACCCGTGGTTACCCGGCGTCCGGCGGTTACCACGAGGCGTCCGGCGCCCACTCGTCGTCCCGTGGTTAGCACTGAGCGGCCTTACCGGCCCCCGGCGACTCGCAGGCCGGTGGTTACCACCCCAAGGCCTGTGATTACCCGGCGTCCGGCGATTACCCGGCGTCCGGCTGTTACCACGAGGCGTCCGGCGCCCACTCGTCGTCCGGTGGTTACCACTGAGCGGCCTTACCAGCCTCCGTCGACTCGCAGGCCAGTGGTTACCACCGGGCGGCCCTACCAGCCACCGGCGACTCGCAGGCCGGTGGTCACCACCAGGCGTCCTGTGGTTACTCAGCGACCCGTGGCTACCACCAGACGCCCCGTACCCACTCGCCGCCCTGCACCCACTCGCCGCCCCGCACCCACTCGCCGCCCCCCCGTACCCTCCCGTCGTCCAGTGGTCACCACCCAGCAGCCATATCGGCCGCCGGCGACCCGTCGCCCTCGGCCCACTCCGGGCCGCCCCATCACTACGCCCCGGCCAAGCTACATCCCTCCCAACCCGCTGATCCCGGATGGCACTGGCCCCAACGGAGGGTCGCGTGCCCTTCCCTACCACCCGAGCTCCTGTGGTCACCACCCGCCGTCCCATCCCAACCAGGGGGCCTAGCATCACCACCCGCCGTCCCGTCCCAACCAGGAGGCCTAGCATCACCACCCGCCGCCCCCGTCCCAACCAGAAGACCCATCATCACCACTGGCCGTCCCGTCAGCCACCAGGAGGCCCATCATTCACTACTGGCCGTCCCGTTACCACCAGGAGGCCCATCATCACTACTGGCCGTCCCGTCACCACCAGGAGGCCCATCATCACTACTGGCCGTCCCGTCACCACCAGAAGGCCCATCATTACCACTCGTCGCCCCATCCCCACCAGGAGGCCCGCTATCACCACTGGCCGTCCCGTCACCACCAGAAGGCCCATCATCACCACTGGTCGCCCCGTTCCCACCAGGAGACCCGCTATTACCACTGGCCGTCCCGTCACCACTCGAAGGCCTGTTATCACCACCGGAAGACCGTCCGTCACCAGAAGACCCGGTGTCACCACCCCCGCACCGTCCGGCTCCGGCTCGGTAAGGTTCATTTGGAAAAAATAATCACGAGCCGCACCAGGCTGTGGGTGGCTCAGGACGCCCGCTGATGCTTGTTGTGGGCAGAGTCGCTTTAAGAGCTTCCGTTAAGCTTCAGTTAAGAACTGTGCACGATTAGATTCTCTCTAAAAATGGGTTCAAAGGGTGGCCTCTGGCGGTGGCAAGCAAAGCTTCTGACTGTCAGATGGGGAGAATGTGTGTGTGGGGGGAGGGGGGAGGAGGATTATAGAGAAAACGGCATTTCGGTTTTTCTTTGCATGCAGCGCATGGCGCTTGGTATTAACGCGGAGTGTGATGCATACCCCATTCTCCTCCCTGGCACCAACCCTGACTCCTAGCACTCAGGTCATGTGGTGTTTATTTTCATTGCCGTGATTTTTGCTGCCGGGATGCCTACGAATTATATAACGTCCGCACATTCGACTCATCCTGGTCACCTCTCGCATCCGCTAACACGTCCGCCACCCGTTCCAGACGATGATGCACATGTCTCGTCCGTACGAGTTCGGCTACGACGTCGACGACTCGAACACCGACAACGCCTTCAGCCAGAAGGAGACGAGCGACGGCATGGTCATCACCGGCGAGTACCGCTGGAAGATGCCTGACGGCCGCACCCAGATCGTCACCTACCTGGCCGACTGGGCCAAGGGCTACTACGCCGACATCCGCTACGAGTAGCCGAAGCGGCGGCGGTTCAAGTGCGTGACGGTGCGAGCGGGAGCGCCTGCGGTGGCGACGCTCACGTGCGTGACTTTGCCATTGCGATTTCTGTGATACCAAAGCCGCGGCCGAAGCCCGCGGCGCCGACTCAAGATCCTGGTATTGCGCGTGTGCGCCGATGGCCGGTGTTTTGTTGCGGGTGCGAGAAGTGGGAGAGAATCAGGCTGGAGGGCTTCGAGGATGAGAAGGTTGCGGAGCGGGTGCGTGGGAAGGCGTGTGACCTATTGATGCGAGCCACTGAGCGGTGTGAACGTCACGTTCTATGTATATATTCAGAGTGTGATCTTTTGTTTCGATTGGCAGAATGAGCGATGCTTTTAGATTTATGAGATCGTTCGTCATTGGCATACTTATTTGGTCGACGTCAGTGGTAGAATGCCCGTAAGTGCTGCACATGGTGACTGTATTCTTGGCCTTCATTCCTCCTCTTGTGAATAGTTGTATATTCCTTGCTAAATAATACAAACGGGAACACCAGCTCCCAACTCTCTTTCTTGTTTCATTGTTCACATAGCGAGACCTGTCAAGCATGAGAGACAAAAAGAAATGGTAAAGATGCACCTTGAAACCAGACTACAGATAACCTTGATGGCTAGAGCTTAGGGAAAACATGTCAAAATGAGACACCCGTGGCTAAATGTCGATGGTAGACCCACCCTTTCTGGCCTTGTGATCGCCCGCGGCTTTGATGTCTAAATTGTACTAATTACATGAGGGAAGTCGTTTGTCTATTGTTCTGAGTATCACCCGTGTCCATGATAATTGCCACTACCTATTTATGTTTTAGGGAGTCACAAATGCGATCAGGGAAAGTAAAAACATTAGGGTGTGTTGCTCGGTTTCATACCCAAGCTGAGCTATTTTGAGACTGGCATCAAAACGGTTTATTTCCTCTGATCTGTACATAACTTTAGAGAGATATATACCGATAGGAAAGTGGTTATGAGCAACCAGTTCCTACCTAGAGTCTCTGCTCTCAAAATAATTATAATCCGGTCTTTTATAAACTACTGTCGGTCGTTTAAAAGTTGTCAACTTAATATTTTCCTAAATCAAATGTGTGACCAAACCATGCTATCTTAATTCACTTTCAAAACAACTCTCAACTTACCACAGATATCAGCACTATGGAGCCTAATCAGACTGCCATATCTATAGGCAGACGATGCGCTGGTGAATACTGTATATAATCTACAGCTTTGTATGACTGAGTGAGAGGACATGCATGACGTGTGGGCACATAGAACACTAATGATGCGCCACTGACTGTGTATTGTTATTTTGAAGAGGCCCATTGCTATCGGATGCTGCAAGATGCAAGATGTACCACATGCCAAACGATTGGAGCGTGGTACGTGAAAAAGGTTGCAATCTTCTCCATGCTGTATAATCCGAAACATAAGCCAACTCACAAGACTTGTCAGAAGTTGCGAGCAACGAAGCTATATTATGATCTCAAAATCCAAAAAGGCTGTGAAACAATTGAGCGTATTGATTGATTGATATTACTTATATATATATATATATATATATATATATATATATATATATATATGTATATTCTAACATGCATGTTATATATATATATATGTATATTCTAACATGCATGTTATATATATATATATATATATATATATATATATATATATATATATATGGATATATATGTGTATATATGATTGATTCATATTACTATGCAATTCAAATCAAACCCAATTTCCAGAGACTGGAGTTTTTCAGCTGGTCCATTTCATACTGAGATAAGGTCCATCCATATTGCATAACGCCACGAATCGTGACACTTCCTGGCATAGACATCAACATGGGCACTGTGTGTATTGCTGTAGGAGCCTTATAATACGTATTCGGATAGATATCCGTTTCCCCATATACGTATACTTAATACCATTCAACGCGGGGTGGGCCTGTGCTAACCCAGGTCGTCCTGCAGCTCATGCCAGCACCACTGACGTCATCAGCCCAGCGACATCACCTGCTAATATACGTGGGCCAGACGAGCTATGCACGCTCCGCCGGACCCATGGATACTGGCCCGACCCGTCTCTTTCACACGCGGTCAGTTGCTGGCGCGCCAAATTTGAACGGCGGGTTCCATCTGCCCGGCCAGGTAATACGCATAGCCTGGCTAGCTCAGTCGCTAGAGCAGGGGACTCTTAATCCCAGGGTCGAGCCCAACGTTGGGCGAATCGTTTAGGCTATAATGACAGGCGTATGAGAAGAAGGCAAAGAAAGCCATGCTGACCTGCATCCATCTTCAGTGATGCCATGAACATGAACCATCCACCCAGTTTTCTACTTACATTCTCGCCTTGCATGCCGTCATGAGAGCTAAACAATCCGCCCAACGTGGGGCTCGAACCCACGACCCTGGGATTAAGAGTCTGGGATTAACATGCATGACAGTTTTTACTTTGTGTTGCATTTCTTTATCATACAGCCATTGTTGATTACTGAATCATATTGGCAGCATCGTGAGTGAAATGATTAGCAACTAAGAGCGTTTACGTATAGGTAACCACGAAACGTGGAGTTAACTCTTCTCACATAGAAAAAAGTCAGCCTGCTTTTGCAAGACGGCAAAACCCTGGTATTTTCGACACGCGTGTGGCAAATTATGTTTAATACTGAATGCGTCATAGAATTCTCTAAATGCTACCATTGATCAGCTAAGGGCGATAGCAGTAGACAGCGGTCGAAGCTCCTACGGCTTCTCTAATCCATCACGGTCATGAAACGTCATTGTTGTGTATTCTCTGCCACTCTCAGGGCGAGTCACGTGAGGTGAGGTGCCCAGTCTACATGGGGCCGACGAGAGAGTGCAGTGAGCCTAGCGCGTGCCATATGCCACCGCACAGTCAGCTGCTTACGCGCCAAATTTGAACGACGCCTGCCACCTGTCTGGCTCCGAAATGCCTGTAGCCCGGTTTCCTCAGTAGGAAGAGCATGGGACTCGTAACCCCAGGGTCGTGGTTTTGGGCCGCACGTTGAGCGGAATGTTTAGCTCTAATGACGACAAGCAAGACGGCAAAGAAAGCACATAATTGGCAAAGTTTGCCAGATAAAATACAAAAAGCAGCAATAGATTCGAACTTCAAGATCCACGTAATTTGTTCTAAAAGTGGCAGAGGAGCAACAAAAAGCTCAGCTGATTAAAAAATGAATTAAAAAGGATTTGAGAGAATGGATAGCATGATTGATTGGAGCATGTCATCCACATATTCAGCAATTCTCTCGCATCCATCTGGTTGAAGAATACAGGAAAATGCTATACATTACCGGAGGCTAGCGTAAACTGCAACATTGTACAAGAACCTAGCATAAATTGCTTAATCATTTCATAAGCGATGAAATTGAATGTACTAATGCTAACGGCTGTTGATGCGTCTTGGCGTTCAACGCATGCAATAGAACCATCCATGCATATAGATGATTTTTTCAGCCCAGAGACACACAACAGGATTTGGCTATTTGAAATCTGTCCGATTTTCCCTGTCATTATAACCGGCAACCCAATGAAGATATTGCTCAAGTCGCAAGAAGACAAATTTGTCGGAGACTGTGTAGAGCCGCTATGTCTCCCTCATCAATGATCTAACCTTTCCCCCGACATATCCCATCTCTCATCATTTCCATCTCACACGCTTTTTAGTAGCCTTAACAGACCGCCTAACTTGGACTGCCCAACGACCGCCCTCTACCGACCGAGCTAGTCGGGCCGCATGGATCTTGCCGCTGGGCTGATGACGTCGGTGGTGCTGGAATGAACGGAAGATTGCCTTGAATGCTACCAGTGAACAGCCCAGGACAATACCAAATGGCAGCGACTAACGCTCCTATGCTTACCCTCAGCCATCGCGGCCATCAAACGTCCCTGTTACGTGTTGCTCTGTCACTCCCAGAGCGAGTCACGTGACTTAGGTGCCCGGTCTACGTGAGGCCGACGAGAGAGTGCAGTGAGCCTGGCGCGTACCCTGTGCCACCGTACAGTCAGCTGCTTACGCGCCAAATTTGAACGGCGCCCGCCACCTGCGCTCCCGTCTCCCGGCTAGCTCAGTCGGTAGAGCATGGGACTCTTAATCCCAGGGTCGTGGGTTCGAGCCCCACGTTGGGCGGAACGTTTAGATCTCATTATCACACGCAAGGCGAGAGTGCCACTAGAAAATGTGGGGAAGTTTCCCAGAAGAAAAATATAATAGCCACAGAGCACCAAGCAGCAGCAGTAAAGAAGAGGGTTTACGAGATTCGCTCTAAAAGTGACAGAGCAGCAACAAACAAGGCAGATCAAATAATGGAAAGTAGATTGGATGCAACTGAATTTAAATTGAATGATAAACTTGTCTTATGTCATCGACATTTCCACCAGCCTTCTCGCCGAGCTGCATTCATCTTGCCAAAGAATGCGAGAGAGTGCTATGTACTACAAGAGCTTAACGTAGACTGCAGCACTTCATAGGGCAATAGCACTAAATGTTTATCACTCCGTAAGCGATAGACTTGAACGAGCCAATAACCATAGTTGACGATGCTTTTCGGTGTTGATGCAACAAAACCATTTATGCAAATATATGATGACTAGCACGCAGCAGCATGGACGTCCATGTAGCATTGTTTTGTTATCAAAACTGGACTGCTTTCGGAATTGAGCTTCGTTGTGGAATGCTTATTATCCTAAAGAAACAATAAACTATGAACAATATTAGTTAATATTAATACATAACCAGAAACATAAACAGGATTTGGCGATTTGCAGCGCGTCGAGTTCCTCTCGCTTTGTTATCTGCCTCGGTAAGAGGACTGCTACTGTTGAAGTTTTTCTAAGAGTTTGCAGTTACAGCGCCTTGGCTTGGGTGACCGTGATCGACCATTTCTTTACCATCTTCTCACATGCCCGTCATTAGAGTCTAAACTTGAGAGAATGGATAGCATGATTAATTGGAGCATGTCGTCCACATATTCAGCAATCCTCTTGCATCCATCCGGTTGAAGAATGCAGGAGAATGCTATGCATTACCGGAGGCTAGCGTAAAATACAACATTGTACAAGAACCCAGCACTAATATCTTAATCGTTTATTAAACGATGGAATTGCATGTACTAATGTCAGCAGTTGTTGATACGTCTTGCCGTTCAACGCGTGCGATAGAGCCATTCATGCATGCAGATGATTCTTCACAGCCAAGAGACACAACAGGATTTAGCTATTTGAAATCTGTCGGATTTTCCCTGTCATTATAACCGATAACACAATGAAGATATTGCTCAAGTCGCAAGAAGACAAACTTGTGGGACACTGTGCGATGCAGCCATGTGTCCCTAATTAATCATCTTACCTTTGCCCCGATATATCCCATCTCTCATCATCTCCATCTCACACGTTTTTTTTTTTAGCAGCCTTAACAGACAGCCCAACGTGGACCGCCCAACGACCGCCCTCTACCGACTGAGCTAGTCGGGCCACATGGATCTTGC